CCAAACCGGCTCTGGGGCCCACCGCGCCTCCTTTGCAACGGGCGCAGAAGTTCTTTATTTCCCCATACGTAACGCAACATCAGCTTGAGCTTGACCACAGAGATTACGAATGCACGGAGCCCTAACTCCCCTCCCCAACACGTCAAGCACAAAGACAACTTTAGCACAACTCCAGATTACGAAAACTGACGCCAACACGCACTTCTGAGACGCGTCTTCTTGTTTCAGGATATAAACACGAAAACCAATGCTAGGGGACATATCCCCACAAATCCCACTTCTGTGACGTTCGTCATATGAGGACAGTGCAATTTTTCATAATCGATACATTCGTCATGGAGCATTGCGAGAGTTATCTAGAAGGCTTACACCTGTCACCGATTCAAAGTACAAAAATAATTATTTAACTATTCCTACACTTGTAGCAGGATGCTATTGTTCGGATCCATTCTCTATTTCCAAGGACTAAAGGTATTAATCAACAGTAAATTTTACAGAGCTCTCCATATATCAAATCCATCCACAGAATCGTCAATCTAGAAAGCTCACATGTCACAGACATTCGTTACGAGCTGCAGTCGCGGAAACGCACGTCAAAATGAAAATTGCTCTTTCTCTCCACATGCAGCAGCAAAATAGTCAATTACAAAAAACAAGAGCCTGCATTTTGTATACAAGCGTATTGCATGATGGGTAGGCCTGTATAAAATTACGTGAACCGCGATTCCGACTCCGATATCATACGGACTGTCTACCACTACTTTTTATTATGAAAAATTGAGATCCGGAGGCGGGGAAAATGTTTCCGATACACCTAACGCGCTGTGGTTTATGCGCCACACAGGTCTCGGTTAGAAATTCGGTGGCCAGCAACACTACGGGCCGCGATAATGGCAACCACATACAGGAACACATTTTTCCGCACTATGAACTACCAAATACTGATACTAATTCTAAAATGTCGACAAATGTATGGAATGGCACACACATAATACATCGTTCAGTTTACTACAGAACAGCTACAAACTAATTTCATGGAAACTGACAGTCGCTCAACTGTTACGAAATTATATTCTTTTGGGTTCTGGCGAAGTGTAACTAGTCGGAAGATGCCAATGTTGCGGAGAAACGTACTATCTCTATCTTCAGGTCTAAATTTCCTTTCCTTTCAAAGAACAATAATGCTCATCAGTGTGTTATCTGGGCTCTATTCTGAGCCAGCTGAAGCCGGTACACACTCTCACGCTATATTTACCTATTTCAATATTACCCTCCTAAGGCCTTCCAAGTGGTCTGTGTCCTTCACATTTCAGACTAAAATTATGCAGACAATGCATTTCTCACGTCCCCTATCTAATCTCCATTGATTGTATCACGCATGTCCATGCACTAATATGTTCACACATATTTTCATATATTTTATTAACTTCATCCTATACACGTTTCACATTGCCCACAGTCCAACAGGATTCAACATGCTGATAAAATGTGAAGGGGCAGATTTCATTAACTATTAAGAATTACAAACCACGAGGATTAAGCAGAGGACAACCTGCACAGAAGCTTCGACGAATGAGTCCTCAATGGGCAAAGAAGTGGCCCACGTCCTCGATCGCTACATTATGACAATGATAATGGTAGTGGAGCTAAGATTTCATAGAAATTGCTACAGATTTAACATAGTTTTAGGGATGGTTAATGATTGACAAGGGCAGATACTGCATTTAGATTAAAAGTACAAGCTCTGAAAAAACAACTAAATATTAAAAATTGCCTTACGAGCGCAATGCCATTTTAGTAAAGAAACAGCATCACATACCACGAAGATGACAAAACAGTTCTGATCAAAATCACTGCAGTTACCACACTCTTTGAACCAACGTTAACTTGTAAAAACGCAGTTGTAATGACAGAGTCACGACACGCTTAGAACCACGTCGCGACTCAGCGGTTGAAAAAACAGGTAAGCGCGATTTTGGGGTTTTGAAGACGCTGTCTATGAACGCAGAGGTCTGAAGATGGCCGGTAAGCTTGCCAGCTACGAATTGCAGGGCTCTGAAGAACAGAAAAGCAGAAAGAAATACAGACCTACACCGACCTTGAAGTATTTTAGTCTTGTTGAGGCAGTAAGCAAAGGTTAATTGCGATAAGTGATATTCAGAATTTTGTAGCTCCTTTCCCATAACCGCCGACTTGTTAATCAGGTTTCCCACTTTCAGCACCCGATGTAAATCATCAATGTTTAAATTCACAGCACAGACAAAGTGACCGAAGTATTGCTATCGTTTGTAGAGTGTTGTCAGTATCTCAGTTATCCCGCATGTAAGTTTTGAGGGTTTCTGTCTTCACATTTAAGACATATTTTTTAAATATTACCGTACTCAGAACAGCTTCTGCCCTTTACACCTCACAACTTGTATGTGTCTGCAACCATTCTACTTACCACACAAACAAGTCGATACAATATGCAGTAAAAAACATGAAAATCTTTAACTACAGATCGTAATATGGAAATAGAGATGGGTCTGGGTGGGAGTAGTTTCAATAACAGAGGAAAAAGTGGGCATCACGAAAAGTCGTTCATGTGCCCATTTTTATTCCACAGCTAATGGTTACTTCCAAGAGCAGAAACCGCTCATTTTCCAGTAGCCGGCCAGCCTGCTGAGAAAACACAGCGGCACGCCATTATAATAATCTAGGGGAGCTATAGGCTACTCAAATCACGAGACGGGTTACACCCTTCCATATGCCCCGCGAGCAGTCACTGGTAGATCAGAGACGATATTCTTGTGAAGTTCAAACGTTTAACTTCCGACAATAACACCTTACATTAGAAATACTGATTTTGTACACGTATTCCCCATCCCTTAAAATTCTGATGCTAGAAACTGAAACATAAGCGTATATAAAAAAGATCTCCTCTTACGACATGTCGTAGCCACGAGTCTAATTTGAGTGAAGTCTCCTGCCACTACCACGCACACCGAATCAGTAACTTTCTATAAACGTCCGTGTCAGTTCATTTCAATCTGAAAGTAAACTGTAACATGTCGAATATTTAAATCCCAGAGGGGTAAGCCATGAACTGAAACCTTTAAAACTATCAAGTTGCATATATTTATTCAAATGCATTCACAATGTCAGTTCACACATTTTATTCGTCCGACTGAACGTAATTATAAATAAATACTAAACGCGCTCGTACTGAAACTCGTAAATGTCGTTGGTGGCTCTAGTGTTAGCGATGAGTGTCCTTGATGATAGCAAGGACCTATGTAACGTCGATGAACGTCTACCAAACTACAAGGCGCTACTACCCAGAAGACAGCCATCTTCGTACTCACCGCCATGAAAACCTCAAATCATACTTCGTTCTACAGAAGTTTAACAGACCCTAAATCATATTTCGCCGTTATCAACTCGGGAGGTTATTTAGCATCGTGTGTCAAATGGGAAGTGAACAGCGGTTGTCCTTGCATATTTGACCATCTGTTCCACGCGCCTGCTTTTGAAACTGAGGAAATCTGTGCACAACTTTATATCTCTATATCGAATGAGTAGTTTCACTATATCTTCTGCCATTTGCTTCACATCTGGCCGGTGTTCGTGACCGACTGGAGTGGAGTCAAGTGTTTGAAACCTGCATCAAGATGGATGTATGACGAGTAGTCTATCGCAACAGGGGACGGGCATGCAATTGTGTCTTTCAGACTTCCAGAACAGCGGGACGTAATGCGAATATAAAATAGGGTTCCTGTATTTTATCCCTGAACAGTACCCTCCCATCCTCACCCTGCATGAGATTTTTTCTCTCATGTAGAGGCTAATTCAACTCTGAATTGCTCCTTTTATTTGATTATGAAGTGCCAAACATACTGCTATCGAAGAGGTTATTCTTTATTACACTGGTATACGAGTCGTGTGTTTGCTGTAATCCAGTTTAATCAGCTAACCTCAGGATATAAGGAACAGCCTCCGAACTAGCAGGTTAGCTCAAACGTGTGATGTCAAATTGGGAGATATTCGTTTATAGAGTAACTTTTTGTGGTTTGTGGCCTCTCACAGGCACTTTCTGCCTCCATCAGCAGGGAGACAGCACGTACCTCAGAAACATCAGGAAACTTCTAGACTATACAGCGCCACAACCCATATCGCCGCCAACAGAACTTCAAATCCTACTTAAAGACAGTCGAGTGTTTTAAAAGATGAAAGGTAAACAAGTTATAACCTCACCTTTGTGCCTTTACTTTCTGCAGGAATAAAAAGAATGCGTAAAAAAATGAAGTTCGGGGGTGGGGTGGTCTTCACTACCATCGGAACGAAGCCCAGACGCAATCCGGCCCAAGTGACAATCATTCGTCTGACGGAACGTAAGCTTGAACCATGTCCGCAACGTCACATCATGCAATTCCGTTCATTGGAAATACAATTTAGGTCTCTTGCATGAGAAACGAGTGGAATATAATACAGTAAATTATTCTTAATTACAGCATGCACAAAAATACAGGCCAATACGCCAAGCTAAAATACAGAATGTTCCATTTTAAATGCAATCCCAGGCAATATAGTACATTTAAGTTCTGGTGACACCAGCGTCACGAGACAAGAGAGATTTATTCTAATTTCACTTGTTACGAAGAAGTTCCTGAACAGCTTTACAGCAGATGCTGAAGAATACCACCACCTTCTCGGGAGACAAATATCCACCTTTTTCTGGCGTGTTTCTGGGGCAACGTCAGAAACAGCCAGTTCAATATTGTGTTTCAGGTCTTACTAACGAACGCAAGTTTTTCTTGTGAATGCACCACGTTCGCACTTGCACGCATTATGCGTGAGCAGCGGCTTAACATCCGGGATTCCCCCGACTAGAGATGCCTATTTATTACATGGGGTTGGGCCTGCTTCTGACTTCATGTATGTACCGCAGTTACGTGACCGCTTCTGAGTTGCGTTTTAAATAATACATCCTGCATTTTAAATAGTCTACGACTCACGCTTACTGACAATGTCCGCCGATTTTAAAGTTCCTCCTTCGACGAGATCATGCAGTTCCTTGTGTCTAGAAGTCAAGTGTCTGAGAAAAGAAAGAAAAGTGTTGTTTAGTATAAACTGAAAACAATACAAATCGTTCATTACATTTAATGGAAGAAACTCCCTATTGACCTTAACACTGCGTAGTCACTGTTGCCACTTCTTGGCACCAATAAGCAAAAACATTCAAGCTTCTTCCAACACCATATTTTTTAAAACAATTTCAATATAGCAACTTTTAAAAAGTTGTTGGTAATAACTTGTTAAAATTTAATAAAAGTAGCAAAATCCATCCATTTAAAACTCCTTCACTGTTGAAATGTTGCAGAGTTTTTAAAACACTTTAGAATATTAATATTTTCAAACTGAAAGTTTACAGGAATGTAAGGAAGTCGACCAAACTTGACAATTGGACTAAAAGACTGATAATGGTATATTAAAGATCTAAAAGCATATGTACATGTAACAGCACAATTAAGGTGATTAAAAGTAATTGGTATATAATAAGTATACATGTTTAATAACTGTACAGTATGAAAGGCTAGAAACTTAATATATTACCTACAAAAGGAAAAAATCGTCATTCACACACATCACCAGCACAATAGCTAGGACAGCGAAATCTCGGAAATGATGATGTGTTGCATGTAACAGGATAAGAGAAACATTTTGACGGCGAAAATGGCTCAGAATTGTGATCAATGATGGAACTAGGAATTAAACTGCCTATTCTACGACAGCAGGTGACGTAGTTCGCATGCCATCATCAAACATTTCCTCGATGGGTTTCACTCCTCAGTCTCACGGCTGATTCTTTTCAATTCAGCAAAACACTGACGCACATATAACAAAACAAGCACCACTTTCGGCAAATATTAATAAAATCACTCAACTGGCCTTTCTTTGCTGTCTCCTGGTATTATCTTGCTGTCATTTCTCATTCAACGACAAATAATCTGACTTTTAAGTAAGCGCCGTTACATAAATAAACAAATAATCAAGAATGTCACATATAATTCGATGTTAATAGTGTGCCCTCCAACAAATCGCCATAGCAGAGTAGCATAGCATAGCAGACAAAAGTTCTGCCTGTAAATCACGATTTCTTGCCAGCTCTTCCATCTTTCGTCTTCTGGTAACTGGTTAAACCATCTTCTTCTGAATCGTCCTGTGCGACTTCTGCATTTCAATTTGAATTCAAATACACTTCTCCGCATAAAATATAATATACTAAAACAGTGAACAGGACATGGGAACTACATTATCGCTGTGTGTGGTATTAACGGCGGATTTTTTCAAACATTCTCCCTGAAAGTAAATATTTGGATTTTGTTGGCCCAGGACAGGGACCGATGGAGGGCTTTGATTAATTCGGTGATGAACCTTTGGGTTCTAGTTAGTTAGTCAGAGAAGGCAATGTTCCTGATGTAGATGAAAGAACATTAAAATGCCTCTCAAGAGTATAAACCACAAAATTATTCAAAAGAAGAACTATTTTCCTTGGCAGTCTTTTTTCGTGAATTGGTAATGCAGAACATGCATTCAGCCGTGCTATATTTATGAGAAATTAACACGAATAACAAACTTTTTTTCCAATCATGATTATTTATAAAGCATTCCCTTGTTTGGGAGATCTTCGATAAAAGTTTTTAACGATATTATTTACATATGTACAAGCCTCTTGTTTCGTGAAGGTTGGTATGAAAGTGTTAAACGAACAGCGGAACACAAGCAAATAGGAACTCCACACGGCAGATTCGCTGAACATGCACGACTTTGAACATTCATCGCCCTGATGACAGAGACAGTATGCCCTCTGAAACGTTGGTAAACATCGACCAGACTACACAGCGCAACAACCCAGAAGACAGAAATCTTCATACTCACCGCTGTGAAAACCTCATATCTTACATGAACGACTTTCTTCCGTAAGATTGCATTCAGAAGGGATGATGAATCTACCTTCGTGGTACTGCGTCGTGATACTTCTGCTAACGGAGGTGAAAATGGCTGAGGTTCGTGTCCAGCAGTGGGACTGGGCATTAGGAATGTTGAACCCTCAGGTTCTCCTAACGCAGATGGAAACGGCTCGTGATAGCGTTTAATGGTGGGGTTTCGTATTAGGGAAGCGAAACCTTCAGGTACCAGAATTGGTTGATTAGATTATGCTTCTGTTATGAAGTTTCTCCGAGCTTCATAATACATAAACACGTTGCTTTTACATTGTACATAAACAAATTTACATGAGGTGGTAATGATTTAGATTTGTAGGCTAATAATTGCACTGTGCAATGAAAAATGTGAGACAAACAGGGTCCCGTTTGTCACCCATAACAGCAGCGGGCCTACGAATTTATGTGCCATTTTCGGGAATTTCCCTTGTTTGTTGTGTCGCCACCTTGGCGATGTGAATAAAAGTCTTACGAAAATATGAAACGCAAAACATGTGGTCGATTCTGCCTTTATATAGACAACGCGGCATCACATAAGATACATCTAGCTCTCAAAAACAAAGGTTATGCGTACTTCTTGAGCAACAAAATGTATATTATTATAATAATAATCCAAAGGGAGGAGCGCTCCATCTATTCGGGAAGGCTGGCAGCTTCAGCCACAAAGGAAAAGTTTATAAGATAAGAAAAAGACAGAGCTATCAAGCAAGGTCAAGCCAATGATTCACGACAGCCTTATTCCTGATTATTATAATATCAAGTCGTCCATCTCAATCCACTCTTTCTGGCTCTGGCTAGCTGAATAATATTTTTTCCAAAAGTGTAATTACTGTACAGCTCGCTTATTGTAATTTGCATCGCTCATGTTACCTTCAGGCAGGTTTTATGATAGATGCCCCCACCCATACATTCTTATTGTAATGTGGG